TCTATTATGAAATCAAAATACAACTATTCACTCAGTGTTCTAATCAACATGAAAATCAATTACAAATCATTGTCCTCATGGCCTCTTGTAATGTTCTAATTGTGTTTCCTAATGTGAATTGAGTCGAGATTCAATGAATGAACTAAAATGGAAATTCATATTTATATGCTAGTTTTAAAATAAAAAAAACTCACGGGCATATTTTATTGAAATAGAAAGGATACGTAAAGATTGTATGAGAGGGCCCAATAGAGGCACCCTACCCATACGATACCAAGTACAGTAATACCCCAACAGAAAGATACAGATAGACTCAATAAAAATGTAAAACAAATTTAAAACATGCAGAAAAGAAAAAGCTAGGGACGAGCCAGTTTCGTCCCGCCTCTTCCTCTAGTTTTAGGAGCGGAGTCAGATAACAAACTTTGAAGAGTCGTTTCATTGTCAAGAGTAACCAAAGTATCATCCATTAAGTTTCCAAGTTGGAGTGTGCCCTCAGTCTTCTTCTTCCGCCGAAAAGTGTAAACCTGTCGTTCTTCATCTGAAGATTAGCTCATGTGATCCTCGGTCTGATTAGATATTAGAACGGCGGTAGAAGAAAGGGCAATCGTTGCCACAACTTTAGGTTCCCCATTTATTTATCACCTCAAAAGATTAATACACACATTTTCTATGAAATCATTGGACTCCGGGCATGAATATCAAAGGTCTCTATGTTTTATTTTGTCAATATATACTGTTGTTATCTCTTCATGATCATGTTTTACTAAATGTAAAAAAGGCAATCTCTTTGGAACAAAAATGTACAAAATAACCATATTTTGTGACCACAAAGATGGCGATTTAGATATCTGTTTAAATGCCTTTTAACCTGTGCTTGCAAGTTCACAGATTGCAATTATTTTCATTCTCACTGAAAATTATTCCCTCCAAATCACTAACACAAACCAAAATAATCAGAAAATTCTTCAATGGTCTCGTTATAGTTTAATGAATTATACCAGAAAATTCCTCAACGGTCTCGCATATACCAGGACAAACAAGATATGGGATGTATTAAGTCCTCTCTTCCGGAAAATTAACCATAACTCTCCGGCCTCCAAGCTAGATTTGATGAATAAAAGGGAGTCGAGATAGATGTTACATATTACTTCAATGCATATACGCAGAAATGAGAAGATTTAAATGTGTTCATCCACGCAGAATGGCAATGTCCTAAAAATGCTGGAAAATACAGAAATCGAGTTGAAGAAAAATATGTATATGTTTTCTTGACGGGCATAGATTTAATTTTAATGAAGTCAAGCAAAAACTTCTTGGAATCAAATTACTCCGAGTGAGTAATAAAATTTGTGTTTTGAGTTCAAAAAGAAGCAGCCCAAAAATAGGTTATAATGGATGAATCGAAATCATAGCAGCCACAAATATTTGCCTTAACTGCAAACAGTTAAAAACCTCCTAACAAGCCTAAGAAAAATATTCCTTTAATTTTTGCAAGAAACACATCATTCCTAAAATCATTGCTAGAAAACAAATTGTAAGCAACAAAAATTAATCAAAAACATGAAAATCATGGCTTTGAACACCAAATCTCGATCCAAGACTCCAATCCACTTTTGGACCCAATGCAGCAGGATCCTCAACGGGCAGTCACTTATTTCTCACCCAAGAACAAATAGAACAACAATACAAGCTTTTGACATGACCTCAGAAAATCACCACTAGTTTGTCACAAGCATAAAATGATAATTTCTGTTCAGCACAGAGTAGATGCAATCCTAGTACAGGACCCTGGATAATTGACTCTAGAGCCACAGACTCTATAATTAGTAGTGAATTCTATTCCTATACCCTTGCTTACGAAATGTAATTATTAAAAATGAATGGATCTCTATCAATAAAAGCAATAAATGGTATTGTTTAAGTCAATCCATAAATTAAATTAAAATATATTTTGCATTTTCTAAATTTGACGTGCAACCTTCTTTCCAATAATAAGCTAACAAAAGATTTAAAATGTGGTGCTCACTTCTAATGTCTACTAGCAAGTCTTAGAATCCAACAAATATGGATCAGCAAGGCAAGAGAAAGTGAGGGCCATGGTTATTTCGTGAGGAAACTAAATTGATTAAACAAGCTTAAGGTATTATGCCATTGTAGACTTGGTCATCCAAGCTTTTCATATTTACAAACTTTATTCCCTTCATTATTTCAAAATGGAGATTCCCTTCAGAGTGAAATTTGCCAACTTCCCAAACAAATTCATTTCATTTTATTTCCAAACAATACAAGCCAAGGCCCCTCTCATTTCAAAACCAAGTATAAAAATAATTCATCATATTTATTACCATTCACGTCCAAGTTTTTTTTTTTTTTTGTATCTTTTGAAAGAGAAATTTCAAACCAATCAAGTCTTCAAAAAGACAAATACTAAGACAATATTTCGCTTCCACTTTAGAGTCCCTTTTTACAGAAAATAGAATTATGCCTCAAAGTTCATGCATGATAATACCATAAAAAATAAGATTGTTCAAAGAAAAAATCATCACCTCCTAAAATTCGCTACAGCTAACATGTTTACTAATAATATACCAAAATACCTCTCGACCACACTGTTCATGCTGCCTATTATTTGATAAATAGAATGCCTACTGGGGTTCTCAACCACACAAAATTAATCTCTAGAGCACCCTTAAAAGTCTTTGGTTGTATTTCATTTATTCACATATATGACAAGAAAGAAGTGGCTTAGGTCTCAAAGTTCGAAAAATGATCCTCACTAGAAGCGTGCAAATATTATATCTCTATAAATGTAACCATTTTTAAAAACCAACCATCTTTACCCAAAAATTATTTCAAAGGGAGAGCTGGTGATTAAAACAAGTTTTGGGACATTACTCAACCTATGTCCAATCTACATGTCTTACAATATTAATAATAAACAAACTAGTACACCTGAAGCACTGCTTAAATGTAAAATCGAGTGAATCATAAAACAAGGAATTATAAAAAGGGAAAACTTGCAACTTCAATCCCTTGAGCTTCATTTTTATTCCAGATGGCCAAAAACTCAAAAAGTAAAGCATATTAAGGACTTCTAGCAAAATTATAAACCTAAATTTATCTCAAGTGCTCAAACACTTGACCTACAATATCTTATTGGTTGCAAGTGGGCCTTCAGTGACAAATAGAAGCCAAATGGCTCAGTACAAGTCAAATTAGTCAATTGAGCATTAACAAAGAAAAGACAGACAAAAAAATCTTTTCTCGGACCTATGGAGAAGTCGCTACTCTAAATATTGCTCGAGTTCTATTATCTTTGACAGGAATCAAGGATTTGAAACATCAATAACTTGATGTAAAGAGTACCTTCTTGAACGAGAAGTTACAAGAAAGAAGTTGATGTGGAATTACCACCATTATATGGTGAGGTTGAAGTTCATGGTAAAATATGTGAGTTCAGAAAATCCTTATATGGGCTCAAATCATCCCCTCGTGCCTGGTTAAACAAATTCACAAATACAACTTGATTGCAAGGGCGCCAGCAAGCTCAATCTAACCATGCTCTATTATATAAACGCATAAAAGGTAAAATCACTTCGCTCATGATTTATAGATGACATCATTGAACTGGAGCTGGGCAATAAAACCCTTTAACCACAATTTGCGGCAAACAATTTATGATCATTGAGGCTTTTCCTTAGTATAAATATGAGAAAGAATATAAGAGGTATTTTAATTTCTCAAAGAAATGTGTTATAAACCTAAAAGAAACTTGAATGCTGAGATGTAAATTATTAGATACTCCAATAAATTTAATTTGAGGTAAATTAAAATTTTGGCACATATATCAACGTCAGTACCAAAGAATGATTAGAAACCTCCTATGTATTTTCAATACCTGACCTGAAATTTCCTTTGGATTTAATGTAATGAAAGCTAGTACTCTCCCTATGAAGAAAACATTAAAGTTCTACGCCAAAATTTGAGTTGCCTTAAAGGAACTCTATGAAAATGACTATGTTTTCAAAAAAAAATGGAAAAAAAAAGATATTAAGTACTAGGTCATAGTAAATGATGGAAGAACAACAACCAGTTATTACACTTTTGTAAGAGAAAAAGGAGCAAGAAATAGATAGTTGTAGCTAGGAGTAGTGATGAAGTAGAATTCAAAGTTCAAGCGAATAGGATATATAAATTGCTTCGGTTAAAAATACTACCAAGTAATCCAAAAACTACAGGAAGCAAAATCATGAAAATCAATAATGACAAATAGGTTGTTATTGTTATTTCTCAAAACCTTATTCACCATGACAAAACAAAGTATATTTTTTCTTGCATATTATAAATAAAATGAAGAGCATTGAATAAAAAACATGGTAATTGAAGTCTCCTCTTCATTTCCACAACCCGTATGGGATGTGTTCCCTCCCTTCCTCTCTCCTAAAATTATGAACCATACCTTTCATACTCCTTTCCCTCTCAGGCTGTAGAGCCAAACACTCACATTACATCATCACCAAAAAAACTTTTGGATTTGTCTCGGTCAGCATCACATATTTGACTAGCAAGGAACATTTTTTAATCCTCCCAAGAGGTCTGGAGTTTCTCTACTAACAATTCCCTAAGCTAGAAACTAAAGAGGAGAAATATAGAAGGATTATGAAGGACTGACAAGAAAGGCTTGCTTGTTACCACATGTATTTGGTTTGGATTCACCTAAACAGAGATACTGTGGGTTTTTTTTTTTTTTTTTTTTTTTTTTTGTTTTTCTTTGGTGTTCGAAATTTGGGTTAAGCAAGAGTGATAATGAAGGTTTCAACACTGAATAAATTAATCAAAAATAATTCGGTGCTACATAGCAGAAAAATAGCAATTAAAAAAAAATCAAATCCCGGTTTAAATATTAATTATCAACTGTTTCATTTCTTCAAAGCTACAAAACTCAATAAAACAATAAAACTGTAACAACCTCAACTTTGTTTGCAGTTAATTCTTACCATCTCACAGTCAAGAGACAGGATATCATAAGGAGATGTACCAGCAGGAGCAGGAACAGTGGGGACAAAATCTACATCAAAGAAAAGATTACAAAAAGTCTGAACGAAATTGTGATAGTTTGTAAACTTTGTTTTTTATTAGTAAGAAGGGTTCACCCAGCTTTTCATTAAAAAAAAAATCTCTGAACAAGTTTAGTACTACCAACAAAATAAAGATTTGAATCACCTGGCTTACTGAAGCAATAACCATTGTCCTCCAACTCCTTCTTCGAAAGGGTGAAATATAAATACGGAAATGGTGAATCCTTTTGAGCCTTTTCTGCACAAGAACTACAATCTCAACAATTTAGGGCTCTAAATAACATTAAGTTGGATCACATACGTTTATTATTTTATACTTTTTATTTTAAATTTATTTACGTTTTGATTTGAAACAAAACATAAGATTTAATTAAGATAAGATTATTTTTAAAATACACTCAAAACACCTAAAAGTTATTTTTACTATTTTCAAAAACATGTTAATTTATTTTTAGAAATAAAAAATACTAATATGTAAAAAATATACTAAACAAAAATGTTTCTAAAAATAAAAGGAAAAATAAAAACAAAAACAAAAAGAACAAAATTGATCCCAAACAATCCCTTAGTAAATTGCTATCACCATGGGAAACATTGTAGGGAAGCTTTCTACTTCCAAAATTTGTCTCTAGAAGCTTATGAAGGTTTTAGAAAAGCCCTTTTGGTGAAAAAACACTTGAAAATCTGGTAACTACAAACTTGAAAGTTAGTAATGAAAATTCCTGCTTATGTATTAGCCTGCTATAGTTTGATAAGCTAGTTGATTTTTAATCGGTAATGCAGCAAGTGGGTATTAGGCATTGTGGCCAAGTTTTGATCATGAGTGTGTGCAACCCATTAAGTAGATTGAAGTCGAACTCTTAAACATCGAGGCGCTTTTTGGAATAATGGTGGAATGTCATTAGAAACTCCAAAACTAAGTGTGCTCGTCTTGGAGCACTCCTAGGATGGTAACCTCCTGGGAAGTTAAACCAACTGAGCAACACCGTGAGCCAATAGGCCAAAGAGGACAATACCTTGATAGGTGAAAGTTTGGGTTGTCACAAATGGCAACAGAGCCTTACACTAACCGAAAGATGGGAACTAAATTTCATAAATAAAAAGGTGTCATGTCATAAGAGCCACCACTTGAACCTTAGATGGGACAAAATGCTATATGGTGGTAGCCATCTCTTGAATCTGTAGGGACCACCTCTAGAGTCTTACCTGCCTAGTGGATGATTATTGGTATAGAGCACTAATGAGGTTGTAAGATGCTTAAGTGGGGGTGATTGTGAAACCTATTAATAAGTAGATTGAAGTCAAACACGTAAACATATTTTGATGTAACGGTGGAATTTCAGTAGAAACTCCAAAGTTAAGCATGCTCGTCTTGGAGCACTCCTAAGATGGGTGACCTCCTAGGAAGTTACACCAACTAGGCAAAATCGTGGGGCCACCAGGCCAAAGTAAACAAAACCTTGATGGGTGAGAGTTCGGGTTGTCACAGAGTGAAACTAGACAATGGCTACACAAGATTAGAAAAAAAGGAAGATTTACATCAAACCACTCAATTTTTATGTATTTATATATCTACACACAAACTTCAATTTTTACATATATATATATATATATATACCACCTTACCTGTACATGAAAAGATATAATTCATTTTTTAAAAGTTAAAAGTGATGCTTTTGATGTGATATGGAAATTTTAGACGGTCTAAAAGGAAAAAAAATAAACTTTACATGTTAGCTAATCGGGTGGTATGTATGTAAATGTCCCTAGAAAAAATTAACAGGTAGATTATGTAATACAACAAATGGATGATGAGAGAGAAAAGTTTAATCATGCTATAGACATTTCAGCAAAGTAGCAACAATATACCATAGCAGAATATAGCGCTGATTCACGTTCTTAAATGTAGTGATCTAAAGATATACACATAAAGATGTATTTGAGGTAACACTGGCTACAGGAAAGACCAGCTTTGCTTCAGAAAATTTAGAGATAGCCTGCAAGGACGTAAAGAACTCCAAAATTTTGAAAAGATATACTAGAAATTTCTCCCACAAAAAAAATTATAACCGTTTTATGAACATCCCAATAACATTTTATGAAATTCTCCTGTTTCAATCATTTAGATACATGCATGTATATATAAATAAATAAGCATAATAGCAAGAATTACCGAAAGGACTACTGTAAACATTTTCTTAAAATGTTTGATTAAATTTCATTTTAAATCATGTGATTAATACCGTAACAAGTAAATGGTGCTGCTGTAGTGAATTTCGGATTCAAAAATGATATTAAATTAGATTCTATTATTATTATTTATATATTAATTATAACTATGCATTATACTTAGCCAAATTCCATCCTTATCCATTTCACTACGACCTATCCCGTAACAGCACTTGTAGTCGAAAAAGAAGATAAAAGGAGAAGCTCAGGTAAGGGAAAACAGAGCAGGAAATAGAGAAGAACATAAAAAAAGAGAAGGGAAGAAGAACAGAAGAAGAGAACAAAAGAGAATGAAGAAGAAAAGAGAAGAACAAAAAAGAAAAGAAAGGAAAGATAAAAAGAGGAGAAGAAGAAGAAAGAATGGAGGAGAAAAGTGTCTCAGCTAAGGAAGCCAGAAAAGGAACAAAATGGGGGAGAAACAGGAAGAAAACAAAGAAAAAAGAAAAGGAAGAAAAAGAAAGTAAGAGGAATGTAAGGAGAGGGGGGGAAAAGGAAAAGGCTAGGCATTCAGTTAAAAGTCCGGTTTTGGCAGCTTAATGATGTGAATGAGGGGGGAAACTTTCAAGGTAAAATTTTTAATTGAATTTTATTTTATTTTGAGTTATTAATTTAGGAATGTATATTAAAATTGAAGAATCATTGTTTTAGATTGTGTACTACATAGCAAGATCTCGAGGATGTAGAAATAAGAAAAGTTGACCCAAACAAATTCTACAATTATAATAAAATACTTGATCTCTAAAGCAAGAAGCAATGATTTGTATGCCAAATTAGTATAAAAAAGCTTTATATTAGACATGTTATTACCAACTAATTTCATCAAAAACATGTATTTTTATGCAAACATCTATTTTATGATATCTATTCTAAAAGTTGGTATGAATGGTTCAACCTTGAATTGAGAAGCGAATAATATATGGTTAGCCGATGAGCTATGTGACGACCTATGTTATGAATGTGCTAAACCCTATACGTACTACTTGGCATTTTTAGGACTATGAACAAAAATAAACTTAAAATAAATAATTAAATAATGCATTTTATTTATTTACAAAAATTTAGATTTATTGCTTATGATCGTTTTATACTTGCGTGAATGTTGAAGCTCGACATACTATAAAATTTATGCACTTGAATAACCATGTTCATAATAAAAAATGCTTATGTTAATTTAGAAGACCAGCATACCTTTTTTTCTTTCTTTACATTTTGAAGCCAGAAGTAAAATTATTTAATCCATTGAGCTTTTAACTCACCAAATATTATATTAATTATTTTTCATACATGAGAAAGGAACGAGTGGGACCATAATCAAGTGACCTAATTGACCTTACTTTAGAAGTTAAAAATACAGCTTTGAATGAAATAAAAAAGAATGTTTGTACTGTGAAAATAACTTCTACACGCATAATTCTTTTTACAAAAGTTCTTAAGAGTTCCTGTGTTGATACCTCTAACCAAAATGGGGTTTTTAAAATGAAAAATAAACCTATCTTAGAGGTAGCTATATCACTAATAATCTCTGCAAATGTTTTCAAGTATTTTTTGGAAGTTGTTGTCCTAATAGATATTAATCTCATCAATAAAATGCTCTCAAGGGAATTTAAATTTCAAAACCATCTCTATTCATTTCCTATGAGAAAAAACATTTTGTTTCCCCCTACAAGATTCATAGAATGTTCAATCTTCATTCACATTCATTCTCAGCACCAAAGTAAATTAGACTTAGATCTATCAACAGTATCGATACTCCCGAAATAAAAAAGGTTATAGATAATATTCTTCAATCATTCAAAAAACTAACAATTCAATGAATATAGCCTCCTTAAACACCGACCTTATTACTCCAAACCAACAATTCAAAGCAAGAAAACTCAACAACAAGAATTTTAAATTTGTAACTTATTTCATCATTCATCATCATCTCTCACCCAACCAATCAATAATGAACATTTCTCATTACCAATTGTTCAACCTACTAGAACACTGACAGAATTTCAAACACCCTCATCAACTTAACAATATAACCAACCTTCAAAAGCATCACTACAGCTTCAAACTTCATCATCACCTCACCAATACACCCAAGCTATGAAGAATGAGGTTGGTTATATTGCCATAGAGCATTGCAGGTCTCACCACCATTTTATAAAATTTTTCTTTCAGTGTAAGTGGTACATTTCTATCACACAATAGGTTGATGCATTCCTCAACATCAACCAACCAACTTGAATTCTACTAATAACATACCCATCTACATCACCATCATTTTGAAAACTAGACTCAATATATTTAAAATGTTCACACTTTTTAATGATTTGATCACCTATAGTTACAACAATAATGCTAGAGCTACAACTACAAAAATTACATTCCATGCAATCAGTTTTAGATCTACTCCAAAGAAGGCCTTTAGACTCCAATATAGACCTCCATAATTCAAGTTTTTTTCTGAACAATTTCTCTAGTCTTATCCACAAGAAGGATATCATTAGCGAAAAGCATACACCAAGGTACATCCTCCTGTAAATGTCCATTAAGAGCATCCACAACCAAAGCAAGAAGATATGGGCTTAATGTCAATCACTGATGCAATCCTATTAAAATAGGAAAATACTAGGTCAATCCTCCTTCCGTTGGAACACAAGTAACAACTCTAGTATACATATCTTTAATGACTGGAATATAAGCCATATCAACATATTTCTTCTCTAAAACTCTCCAAAAGACTTATCCTGGAACCTTATCGTAAGTTTTTTTTCTAAATCAATAAAAATCATATGTAGATCCTCCTTATTCTCTCTATACTTCTCCAACAAACCTCAATAAATGTATAGCTTCCATGGTAGACCTGTCCGACATAAATCTAAATAGATTTTGAGAAATTTTTGTATCGCATCTCACCCTATGTTCTCAATTACTCTCTCCCATAATTTTAAAGTATGACATATCAGTTTAATTCCAACATAATTTGCACTTGTGCATCCCCTTCACTTTTAAAAATAAGAATTAAAATACTTTTTTTCTCCACCGATGATTTTAAAGAGTTTAGTTAAGTTGAAAATCTTCCAAATCTCCTAAATATTTCCAAGCTTCAACATGAAAAACTTTCAAATCTCCTAAATATTTCCACGCTTCAATAGGGATATCATCAGGTCTTACCGATTTTTCACCCTTGATTTTCTTTAAAGCCTCCTAAACAACTTTTTTACTAATGCAACTGTAAAAATAAAACATATTATTATTAACGATATTAAGATCACTAAGGTCGATCGTATTATCATAAACTTTAATTAAAAAGTTTATCAAAATAGCTCAACCATTTATGTTGAATATCTTCCTCTAAAAAAAACACATTTTGATTTTCATATTTAATACATTTTAAGTGAATTAAATTTTTATAGTTTTTACTCTTTGTTTGGCTAGTTTATACATATTTTTCACCCTTTTTAGTATTTAATCCATTAAGAAGATCACTAAAAGCAGAATTTTTAGTATCACAAATTGATCTCTTAGACGCCCTATGAGACCACCTTATATTTTCCCCAATTCTCTAAGCTTTTACATTTAAACTAATTTTTATAACACAGCTTCGTAAATTTTATCTTTTCTTGCACATTATTATTCCACCACAAATTATTTTATTTATATTTTTTTTTCATTTTGATTCTCTAAATACATTATATTTTTTTTTTCATTTTGATTCTCTAAATACATCTTTTGCCCTTAATAGTGCTTGTTAATTTATCCCACATAGAATTCACTTCTTCATGAACATTCCAAATCTTGAAATTTTGAAGCTTAGTCATAAAAATAATTTTATTTGTCTTTTAAGTGTCCCCATTTAATTCTATAAAAATATTTTCTTGTATTATTTATCTTGCAACTCTGTCTTAAAATCCAAAATTAATAATCGATGTTTAGTACTTAAAATCCAAAATTAAAATCTGTCTTAAAATGACCTTAAAATTTTGCACCCTCGATGAACTTTTTTTCTCATAAAAAATAATCAATTTGTGTTTTATTTGATTAATTCTTATAAGTAATAATAAGCACTATCTTTTTTACTAAATAAAGTATTAGCAATAATAAAATCATATGCTACAGCAAAATCTAATACGGTTTTAACTTCATTAATCAGCCACAATGAATTTTTATAAATCTTCCACCACTCTACCAACATGTCCATATAAATCTCCTCCAATAAATTTTTTTTCTTCAAGAGGTAACATTTGTATTAATTCTTCTAGGACATTCTAGAATTTTTCTTTTGAACTTATATCTAAGCCTATTTGAGAAGCATAAGCACTTATAACATAAAAATCTTCGTATCAACAATAATCTTAAGCGGTATAATTATATCTTCAATTCTAATATTTTTTATAACATTATCTTTCAAACTCTTATTTATAATTACACCTACACCATTTCTAGTGTATCTCCTACCTGAATACTAAAGTTTAAAACCTATACTATCAATTTCTTTAATCTTCTCTCCGACTCATTTAGTTTCTTGAATACATAAGATATTTATCTTCCTATGAACCATAATATCAACTAATTTCATTACTTTACGTATGAGTGTGTCTGTGTTCTAAGATCATATCATAATATTAGTTTCATAGACTAATTTTTTTACATGCATCCGTCTGTAATGTGGGAACTTTTGCTTATTTGACACCACACCCGTGCACCGGTATAGCTGCCCTGCACACTTTTCACTGTATTCAAATCATACAACGCGTCATTTCTAGGGGACGCCCTAGTATTTACAAAAAAATTTAAATGACTCGTCATGATTTTTCGATAAATTTTACCTAACATAACCCTCCAATTTTCGCATCTGGGGCTTGGAACCCAACAATGATGATGCAATTTTATGTAACTAAATATCTTTAAAAAAAGACAATAGAATATAAATTAAATTCAGTCGAAGGAGAGAAAGATGGGTGAAAGGGAATTCAAGAATCAAGACAACAAAAAGATAAAAAAAGCAACAAATTCGTTGAGTGATTGCTTTTAGCCTCCAAATTGGGGATCAGAAGTTCAAATCATGCAAAAATATCATGAAAGAAAAAATTAAAAAAAAAAACTAGCAGAATTTTTACTTTGAAACAGAAAAGGTGTCCTGTGCAAATAAACAGTCCAAAAAAAGCACCACAAAAACAATCAATTTTCATAGGAAATCATATCAATTTATGGAATAAAAAAATTATGGGGAGATTAAAACTAGGCATAAAATTCAAATCGAAAGAATAAAGATAACTTTCTGGTTCCACCTTCTGTAATCCTTTTGAATGAGCAAGACCACAAAAAATCGAGACAAATGGAGATAGAGACGACAAGATGACCCACTTGTCCAAGATATACATAAATACAGAAAAATGATTCAAGAAAAAAAGATAAAAACTATATCATAAAAAAATTACATATGGCCTACTTGCTAATAAAAGTTTAACAACACAATGGAAGATTGATCTTCACAACATTGACAATGAAGTGAAAGCTAAAGTAATTGGAATCATTATGTTACCAGCAAAAAGTTATATCAGAGGCCCTTATGCTATAACACTGACCTTGTGTAACTATGTTGGCTGCCTCTGGTTCGGAATCATTCTGCTCTCGCTTTCGTTTCACTTTGCATGTCAAAAGTGCATCAACGGTTTGGATATCATCAGCCATGCAACTATCATTCACCGATCATTAAAAACTGTTTAAAGAAAATAATGGCAGAAATGCTATATTTGGGATGCATTTCAGGATCTTTCATTTATCATACAATAAAGGAAGATTCACAGGCATAACAGTTAATCGTTATGTATTTACATATATAACACCTAAACTTCAATTTTTACATATATGCCACCTTATCTATGCATGAAAGGGTAAATTTAAATTTTTAAAAGTTAAAATAGTGGTATTTTTATGTGATAAGAATGATTGGGTGGTGTAAATGTAAAAATCAAAGTTTATGTGTTAGATATGTAAATACATAGGAATTAGGTGGTACGAATTATGTAAAAGCCCTACAATAAAATGGTAGGGGGCTCAATTTTGGAAATCAAAACATGAACAAAGTAAAAAATTCTGAAAAAAATATACTATGAGTTTCATCTGTATACCTGAGAGATAAAACAGGCTTTGGAATGCCACAGCAATCTGTGAGACCTCTAAAAATCTTGGAATGTGACATATAAAGTGCAGCATCTAAGCCTGGAACATGGAGCAGGACAACTTTCCGTATAAGTGGCTTGTTCTGCAAAAATTAAAGGTGACATCAGACTATAATCATGGAAGAGAAAACATCGTACAGAGTACGCATTCACCACAAACATTATTATCATTACTGTATATCCCTTATCAGAAATATTTAGAGTAGACTTCATAAATCTTCCTCCTCCGCTCTTTTTCTTTTCAAGTGCTATATTGCAACAAGTGGTTTTAGCTTATTTCACGTGAGTTTTTTGCACAACTTCTAAATATATTATTTTGCCTATACTCAGACAAGCATGCATGCATATAAATCAGCAATTTTGTGTAAAAATATATAAGGAAATCATGCAAAATAGAAGATGAAAGTAGGGTTGACATAAGCATATTTGGATGTGGACATACAGAAGAGTTCTTGTGTCCACGAGACAGAATTTCATTCACTAGTTGGATGATAAAAAAGAAGAATTGATAAATGCATATATAAAAGAGATGATATTTTTGTTAGGTAGCAAGAAAAGAGAATAAAATAAAAATCTATAGGCAATGATCCTTCAGATCGAATTCAAATAATATAGCAAATGAAGCAAAATCATCAACATAAAACAAAAAGAAGATTTACATGCCAAAAAATTCTTTCTATTTAGATATCTAGCACACAACTTTTTCTATTTACTTATATGACACTCAAATCTCTAAATCACATAAAAATTATCACTAATATTAACTTAATTGATGTGAAACACGTATACGCTTTGAAATAATATATAAGAAAATAAAGAATTAGGAGCTAGATATATAAATACAAAAGAATTTTGTAAAAAAGAATTTTGTAGCATATAAATGTAAATCCCCTAGACATATAATGTTTAGGTCATGTAATTTTACAACTAAGTTTTCCTAAGTTCCATAAAAAATCCACAATTTCATATGTAAAGTTTACTCCAATGTAAAAAATGAAGCCCGTTCATATCAAGCACTAAATTTAAAAGGAATTTAAAGTTTACTCCATAAGTTAAACTTCATCGCTCGCTTACAAAAACTAAAATTATTTCACCACTTTCAATCCATTTTGAGACGGGAGGTTGCCATTTAGTTATCCATCCATAAAGAACATTTCATCAAGGTCAATAAAATCATGACAACACTAAACATGAGATAAATGTAGACTAATAGATGAACACAAGCGGACATGATGATTAGTTTTTTAAAGTAGAAAAATGGTTTCAACATATTGAAATAAAAGTCAAAAAAAGAAAGGTAAATATCTTAATACATTCCATCACAATATGAAAACCCTCCAAGCTACAACATAGTAAATGGTGAAAATGAGGAAGCCACACCTTGACAAAAACCCAAGTTGGCATCACACCTTCACCAAGAACCCAAGTAACAAGTCCCTGAATGTCCTGTTTCAAAAAGGCAAAACAATATGGGAATTTTACATACTTAGCATACAATTATTATTTATTTAGATATCTCGCGTCTAAATTTTCATATTTACAAACATAGCACTTTGATGCTTTAAACCAATGCATGAAAAGGTGTATTTCACTTTTAAAAAGCGGTAAGTGCCATTTTTTATGTGAAATTAAAGATTTGAGTGATATGTGTGTAAATATGAAATTTTAGGTGTGAGATATGAAAATAAGAATTGTGTGCTATGTTTGTAAATTCCCTAAAGCCTAATCAGATGTTTAGATACCACAGCATACTAAAGCCATTCTATTAGATAAAAAATTTACCTGGAGGCTAATTGATGAAGACTTTGAAGAAGATTTCCAAAAAACCTCAGCCATTGCCTAAAAAAATTTGTTGCAAATACTACTGTCAAATAAATGCACTTCGAAGCCATTCAAATATTTCACTAAGTAAAAAAGAAGGCCATTTTTTATACAAAAAAAGCGAGTTATGATGAATAAATAAGGAACTAAAATCTCATGCTACTCCAGTAAAGATAAAAGAGTTTATAACATTCACATGACTAACATTAACAATGCTTATAGCGTTAAACATCTTTAGGAAATGGCCACGAGCAAAACAATTAAATAGATTATGAATATAAACTCTGCAGCAAAAATTGCAGCCATTATTCTTAAATAGTTTAAGATCCTCATGATTTATCTGCAGCTCACTGATAAGGTCATTTATCCAGTGGGTGCTTCGTTCCTAATCATAACCAGCGGTCAGAGAACATTTATCCAGAGTTTCACTCAATGAGGAATTCCCATTTAACATTATCTGAATCCACTTCCCTCAGTTTCATCGCTATCAGAATACATTATATTGCAGCTAACACGACCCGAACATTTCACAAAACCAAAATTCAGGTAGATGATAATTGGATCGTCAAAAAAAAGCTAAGAGAACGAGGAAAAACCAATCCTAGATTTGCAAAAAAAAAACAGTGACGAAACTTCTGAAACCCGGAGATCTGGAAACGAAGACGAGAGGAAAGAAAGGAGACTTACATCTGGACCGTATATGTCGAAAAAGGCAGGGTTTTTGCCCGCCTCCTTCTCCGCGGCAGGGTTTTCAAAGGCTTTACTCGAAGGTGGCCTCATGCCATCCATGTTAATGGCGACGAGTCGATGACGACGGCAAAAACAAATGCCCTTGAGCGGAGAAAAATTTGCGTACGTGAGAAGCACGCAGCCCTGCCTAATGCTTTATTCACTTTATAGTGCTCTGACCTCCATGAAAATTAAATATAATTTAGCTTACAAATAAATTTCACACTTTTATCTATAGGTCGTATATATCTTACATAAAAATTATATATATGTTAAAGGTGACATAAAGTGAATATAATGCTGATATAACGTAAATATAATTTACATTATCTACGCAGTGTAGCGTGCATCTTATGTATGTAAATTTTTTTTCCTTTAAACGAGCCAATGAGGGTTTGCATAATTAGAATTAGAAAATAGCCAAAATAATAATTATTATGAAACCGTTTGAAATCAAATTTAAAAGTTGAACTTCGCCGAAAAAATATTGCATCTAGCTTCTCTTTAGGATAATATTTTCTATGTTTCATACTATGACTAGAGTTCTCTTTGAGGAATTTTTCTTTTATTATTTCTAAAAAATTTTATGTTATAAAATTATTTTTTAAAAAACTAGAGTTCTCTTGGATGAATTGTTCTTTTATTATTTCTAAAAAGTTTTATGTTATAAAACTATTTTTTTAAAAACTTGGAGGCTCCTAGAAAACTATGATTAGATTTTTTCAAAATAAAATAAACTTATAATAATTGCCATAATTTTTAAAAGCAATTTTTTCTACAGCAACTTCACAATTATTTTTTCAAACAACTGCAACTGCCGCAAACAAATCCTAAATTTGATTAAGATTTAATCAAGTAAAATCCAAACAATTGAATTAACTTGTAAACATTTTTGGATTATTTTTTTTTATTTTACTTTATTTGATTTTAATTATATTCTGATGCACGTAAAATGCATTATGTCTCAATCAAAAATTTATTTTAAACCCTATGACCCATTAATTAAAGATTATGGTTGTATCTATAAAAATTAAAAATTTAAGCCTTGCGCAATAATCTAAAATTTATTATTTTAAAAATAAAATTTAATAGACATTCATAATGTTAGCCTATAGAATTATGAGGGTTAGTGGTTGAGTTCCATGTTTTAAAAATAGGGGAATTTATATACATAGCACCCAATTCTTATGCATTTACTTATCTTACACCAAAACTTAGATTTTTACATTCAAAGCATCCTAGCTATGGAAAAAGTGAAATCCACCTTTTCATACATCTTTTCAAACATAAGAAAAGATACATGGCTTGTAAAAATTAGATTTTGGGTGCTAGATAAGTAATTGTACAAGGATTGGGTGCTATATATGTAAATTTCTGGTAAAAATAATGAAAATATTTAAATTATTTTAAATACTTCTGAAAATAATTTGATTTGCTCGTAAATAAACAAAAAAATAAAATATTAATAGATTATATTTAAAATATAAAACAAAAATTATGTCTAATAAGCCTTAAAGTTAAGTTAGGCATTTGAAAATGTAGTTGTCATAATATTATGGTGCAGTAAAATTTATGAGAACTCTTATGGATGGGTTTCTTATTTTCTTTTCTTGAGGAAGAAATCAAGCAATAGTTTTGTTGCGGTGATTGCATTCAGTTCTTGTTACAAAAAAAAAATGTTTTCACCATAAAATTGTTTGAAAAATAAAGTAGTAAAAAAAAATTGCACAGAGTTATCTTAAGAAATTATTAGGATTAATTTAAATTATATATTTTTTAGAAAACAAAGTTTTAAATAATAATATACATTTCTTTATTTATTTATAATAAATATTTTTTAATGGATTGACGATTGTAGGAAAGTCAATCAACTTAATCACATTGTGTTGGTGCCATGAGGGGCATGCTCTTACTTGCAATGGACCTGAAGAAGGTTCAAAGAAGTGTTATGATGGCTAAACTAAAAGGTACATGTGTGTTTCATCGCATCTCAGGTTTACAAGCCCAGAGGATTGGCAACCAAAAATCAGCTCTGAAAGATATGAAGTCAACCAAGTTGATCACATCATAATGGTGTCATGTGGGGCGTGCTCAAACTTCTGATGCATCAAGCATAACTTTCTTCGGTGTACGATATAATAAGTTGAGAAGATACTTAGTCTAAGGAGTTGATCTCTTGAACCAACCCCGATTGGTCTAAGATAAATCAATCCGGTATCATCATATCGGTGCCTTGTGAGGAGTACTGCAATTTCTGACGGACTGAAAGAAGTTCAAACTGGATTTGTTGTGCATTGTGCTTGAGTTAGCATTTTGTTTTTATTGGATTGATTTTTTAAATTTTGGTTTTGTGAAATGTTGTTCCATTTTTTAACAACAGTAAATTTTTAGTTATATTAAGATGTAGGAAACCGCATGGAGCATTATACCTCGTCCAAATAGTGAATGGGGTAGTCTAAGGATAACATCTTGAGGATACAAAAAAAATTTATGTTTGAAAATAATTAGATTTTGTTAAAGCTTTCTTGATATTGTCATGTTTTTTATTGATTTTGATAGTTATATTTTTTATTGTCTTAGTTTTGAACGTTTTGACTTTGATTGTTTTGATTTTGACTGTTGCATTTTGGTGGTTGTGCTTTTAATTGTTTTGATTTTGATTGTTGTGTTTTTAGCTAATTTTATGAATTCTTGTTTGGAAAAAAGTTGATTGTTTTGATTTTTTTTTTTTTTTTGTTTGTTTGTTTGTGTTGTTGGCTTGATTTGATTCATTTGAAGGATTTTTCTTGAACACTTTATGATGGAAAATACAAGGACTCACATCCAACATGGGTGAGCAGAATGATTAGATCAAGTTAGAAAGCATAGGAACTCTTACAAAACTTGAGAGCTAATCAAAGAATAATTTGATTTTATTATATTGAATATATTAGGGTGGAAAGCACGAAGACTCACACCCAACCTAAAAGGTGAACAGGGTGACTAGATTAAGCTAGAAAGCACAAAGACTCACATCCAACTTGAGAGCTAATCAAAGGGAAAGGCAAGTCATGGGGACATTATGGTTAACCCAAAGGAGATTGATTTGATTAATGTTTGGTTTGAAAAATTTTTGCTTGAAAGTTTTGTTTGGGAATGAGATTGTTTTTCTTTGAAAATTTTATTGTTTTTGTTTGAAAGTTGATTTATCAATAAGTTTGAGTTTTTCTAGTTATAGTGGGTATAGGACACCATATGGGACTTACACCTTACCCAATAACAACCAAACTGAAAGTTTATTAATTTTAAGTTTTATCTTTTAGTTGAGTTTTAGACCCATTGTCCATTTCAAAACTTATGATTCCGCTTAATTTCAATTAAATTGAGAGAGAGTTAACGTTTAAGATTTAATTAAGTTCAACTTGAGAGTTCAAGTTTTCTTCAGAGATTGAAAGACTCAATGATCGTTAAACTTCGTTAAATCCCAAAAGCAAATTTTTTAAAATGGCATGTCATCCCGTCGAGGACCCAAAAATAAATCATTAAGATTTTCTTTCATGAACAGACCCAGTGTTAATCGAATAAAAATAATGAGTTGTGCTTTTAATTTTACTTTAATAAGACTGAAGCCAAGCATCATTATTTTTCAAATTTTATATTTTAGTATATTTATATTTCTAAACCCTGAAAGTTTGTTTAAAACCTTTCAAAGATTATAAAGTAGAATACTGGTAACAAACCTTATAACAAAAGATATTGAGACATTATTCAATCCTTTTAGAGAAGTGCAACTCAATGATTCAACTTGTGGCCCGCTGATACTTGAAAATCAATATTGTTAAGGCCCAAAAGGTATAACCCTATAATTTTAAATTCATTTTTAGTTCAACACGCAAAAGACTTCTCATTCTCCAACAACAATGACTATCCTTGAGTGAGAATCATGTGTTCGATCTCGAAGCATAAACATCAAAGAGCTTGCTTTGTACCATGTTGTATTTTGAGTTTATAAACTGTTGCTTTTTAAGCAGCCCCATTGTATAGTCAGAACTTTTATGATAAATTTTCCCATCTTTCAAGGGTGACCGTGATGACTTTGTTGGCTTCATTTTCACATAAATGAAAATAAAAAAGAAAGGTCTAAATTTGTTTCATCTCCTTAAATTGATTGATTTTAGCTCACTTCAACATTGACTTATTTTTTCTTCGGGAAAATTCATGGATTTGGAACAACGCAATTTTAAATTTTGAGAGTAAGTTTAAAATTTTCAATTGAATTGAGTCTGAGGATGAATTTCCCTTTCAAAATTTAATTTGAAATGTTGTGATGTGATTTTAATTTCCAACTTTGCAAAAAGGGTCCGAAGAAGGAGGTGTTGGAGCAAAGACTCTAGCATTTGCCACCCTCGAGACCTTATCTTTATTGATACCTATCTTCAGAGACATATGTAGTATTTTCTGGTGAATAGATTGATCAAGTCAACTTTTTTTCTCTTCTGCTCTTCCCTTATGACAAAATCTTCAATGATATTTTTTTTTCATTGGAGTAATAGAGCAAACTTTAGTGCAAGACTTGTGTTCATAAGCTGGACTCCAAGTCAAAATGCATTATAGGTATTCTATTCTTCAAGTTTGGTGAAGCAACTTTTGTAATTTTATCATTATCCAAAGATGCTTTACAACTTCTCATGATTTCATCATCTATTCATATGTTTAGAAAGGAGTGGAAATACCAAAATATTGTTCAAAGATCACCATCACTATAAGATAACAACTTTTCTATTTCTTTAACTCACACTTAGTTAAGCAGCTTTTTTAGTTGGTGTTTTGTATTTATTTGGGAATATTTTAAAACTTTATAATTTTTAAATCCTCAGTTAAATTTTCAAATCCTCTGTTAAATAATATCTTTCTTGCACATTTTTTTAATGTATTTTAAATCCTCGGTTAAATTTTCCGATGCCACCTCAAGATATTTCAATTTTATTCTTATTACATTATGTAAATGATAAGTATATTTATAATGAAACATGTACATACACATGTTTTTTGAAAACAAGAAAATGTTATCTCGTTAATTTAGGATATGCTAATCTGTCAGGATTCTTAGCACCATATAAAGGAATTAGGTATCATTTGTGTGATTACCAAGAGG